AGGTTGTGGCCTTAGAAGGAATCTGCTATCCTATATTAGTTTACATTTGAGAGAGAGAGAGAGAGAGAGAGAGAGAGAGAGAGAGAGAGAGAGAAGCTCATAAGGTGCATTGCATCCCAATAAGTTGGCATGGATTGAGACAAAAGCAGGGAGGATACTGGAGTAGAAATAAATAAATAGCTTGCTAGGGACATTCTTTTGCTGTTTCCATGAACAAAACTCTGCATGGAAACTTAAATATTCATCCCCAATTCAGTTTTTTCTCAGAATTTCTCCCCTGGTGCTTTATACATACAGAAAAAGGAAATGGTAAGCGGTAAGTGGCTGAAATTTGAGGACACTGTTTTAACTATTGAACAGGTGGCAACATCCTAAGATACGGTTGAGGAACTGGTGGCCTTTCAAATGTTGTTGAATTCCAGCTCCCGTCATCTTTGACCATTGACCATCCTGGTTGGGGCTTATGGGAACAGGAGTCCAGCAATTTCTGGAGGGCCACAAGTTCCTCACCCCAAGTCCTAGAAGGACTATCTGCTTCTGTGGAAATTCTGCAATAAAAATTGCACTAGGTTGTAATTGCAAACCCAAGGCCTGAAAAAGTCATTTACACTGAAGTTGGCTGGGAAAACCCAGCCAGATGGGCGGGTTATATATTATTATTATTATTATTATTATTATTATTATTATTTGATAATAACATAAGAGCTGGGTTAGATTGGACCAAGGGTCCACCTCATCCTGTTCTCCCCAGTGGCCAATAAGCGTGGTAGAAATGCAATAACCCTCCTTGATTGCTTCTCCCAACAGCCAACAATATGCCAATGTATTTAAATACAACCAACTGATAGGTTAAAAGATAGACCAAAAGACAATATGTTATTCAGGCAACAGCCCTGGAAAAATGGACTACAGCTTTTTAGCAGCTATAACAAGAGATCACCATTTATATATCTCTACAATATTATTAGCAGTATACGCCGGGTCAGCCTAGTGTAAAGCTGCAGAACATCCCCTGAGCCTTTTGTCATTTCCTCCTGGAAGTCATCAGTTCTGCACCTGGGGCAGCCAAAGGGCTTTCATCAGCATGACACTCAGAGGACTCTTCACCCTGATCGACTCAAGGAGACAGAGATAGGTGATGCTGTTGCTTTGCCAAGGGATTACAACACTTCAGACCATTGCAAGCACACATAACAAAACACAGCTGGAAAGCCACAGGGCATGAGCAGGTGTTTTTCATGAAGGAATCTCTTCTGGTCTGCTTAGTTGCACACCTCCTTTGTCTATGCAATCCCACTACCCCAGAACTAGAAGAAGCTAACAAGACTTGGGGGCTGGGGCGGACCTGTTGACTCCACACATAATCATGGCAATAACAAAATAAGGCACCAGCTGGCTGGTCAACGCAGCATCGCTAATAGAGCAAAAAGGCGTATTTCCAAACACAGTCAAGAAGCAAGAGGGTTTAAGAGGAAGAGGCCAGGCCGGGTCAAAAGGATTCTGCCAAGATGACTCACACAGCTCTACTCCCATTCAAGATTAATGGTCTGCTTGCAATCCGGAGCCTAGTCAAATGTTCCAAAGGCACAGTCCTCAGAATCCCCAGGGAGGACCAAATGTTTCCATTCTTTCCCCTGTCAGCTGTAAAGCTAGGAAGGAGGATTCAAGTCTCGCCTTCCCACTTGCAACACTTCACAGATGAAAATAAGGTGCCGCTTTTACTTCTTATTGTTAGGTCAAGGTCACCATCGCGTACATCCCCCATAACACACGGCCAAATACTCCTCCATTTGCTGCATGCTGGGTGATGTCCAACTGTGGGAGTCTGCTTGGGCAACAGCTATTCTGCCAGCAGGAATCCCATTCTCAGCATAGAATCTAATGGGTGTCTTGCAATTGCAAAAGGGGTTGTCCTATCCCTGGCACAACTGCAACTTCTATAGCTGGTAAGAGTTAAGCATTGTGCGCTACCTCTAACACCACTACTTGTGCAACAATGTAATCTCCTCTTGCACTAACATTGCATTGGATCTTGTTCCCTCAAAGGGTGGGCTGAAATTTCTCAGAACAGAATTTCCTTGACTAACACTTTGACAGTCTTCTTTTTTCTTGCTCCACCCAAATGCCCTCCTTGCATATTTTGGGCGCAACTCTGCATCCAGTTTTAATTTTGCTTAATATTATTTTAATATTGTTGAAGTCAGCTGGACCCTCCCCCTCCCAGTTCTCTCTACGCTCATGCCTTCCTTCATCTGCTAATATGAACTAACAACTGAGTTTCATTCAACGTTAAATGAGCCAGAATATTGCTGAAGAGAATTTTCTGGGGGGAAACAGCTGGAGAATTTCATCTATCTCCACCACACCATACTACCCCAGCAAGAATATTTAGCAAAATGTCCCTTTCACCCCTCACAAATAGCCATTTTCGCTCAACCCTAATTTTCTTATTGTATAGTCATCTAAACTCATCAGGTTTCTGAAATGGGGTTTGCTTGTACAGGGCATGTTCCCCTTTTTTCAAAACTTGTGCTATTCCCTACCCTGAGGTCTGTTGACAAAGGGTGGGATATACCTTATTTAATTATATCGATAACATTTCCTCTTTAATTTCAGTGTAATATTAGTTTTTATTTTTATTTACCCCACCTTTCCTCCAAGGAGTTCAAAATGACATATACACCTGTCCCCACCCTCACCTTTATTTTAATCCTTCAACAACCCCGCAAGATAGGTTAGGCCAAGAGAAAGTGACCGCCCCAAGGTCACCCAGTGAGCTTCATGGCTGAGCGGGAATTGAACCATGATCTTCCATGCCCAGCATTCTAACCACTACCCCAATGCATCTTATTTCGCTCTTGATTCCTTGGGATTCCTGCAAGTGCTCTTGCAAAAAATAAATGCACTAGAGTAATAAAAAAGATCCACCTCCTTCTGCACACACAAAAACCAGAGTTTTAATTTATAGGGCTCCAGAATTGGGGCTGAGGCACTGCTTGACAGGCTGACTTTCTTGCCCCTGTCAGCCTCCTTCCCAAGTCTCATGGGGCTAGCAATTTTACACAGTGCTGACCATCGGGCAAAGAGGCCTCTGCCTCTTTCAGACAGAGCTTTCCCCCCCTTCTCCCTCCTCATCTATATTTCAACCAGCACACAAACGCATCAGAACTCATCTTGCCAAGTGACATTTGGCTGCCAACCAGCTTAATGATGCCGCTGAAGGTCTCCTTCCTGCTTACAGAGGGGAGACGTTGCACCAGTAGGGGGGGGGCAGCGCCTTCCCCATTCCAGCTCCCACTAATGAAGGCTCGGTGCATAATGCTTCCTCTCGGGCAAACGCTCTTCTGAAGCATTACTTTGTCAGCTCCCCCTTGCCTCTCGATAGCTTGAACACACTGCCACTAATTAGCGTAATGAGGTTTCGGTGTTTCACCTTCTACGTCTGACTGAGTTTTGTCATGCAGGATGATCCTTTCTTCTCAAGATAAATGATGCAGAGTCCAGGCCCCCTTTTACTCAGCGCATGTCTCGCTGCAGCTTCTCCGCGGTATTTACCGTAGCAGGTCTGGTCCTGAAACCAAATGGTGGATTTGCACGTGAGCCTATCCTGCAAAGGTTTGGGGAGGGGAGGGATCATGCCTCGGTGTGGAGCCGCTTCACATCTTTCCAGCTGAATTATGCCCAAATATGAAAAGAAGGAGAGGCACCAACGAAGGGAGAACGGCTTCTGAAAATGATGGCATATGTGGAACTGGCAAGATGAGCAGCAAAGACTGGAGACCAAAATGACGAAAAATTCCTTGAGGACTGGAAGACTTTTATTGCGTATTTAAAGAACTACTGGATTGAGATGAAAAAATGAGCGGGACTTGAAATATAAGCAACAGTGTTAATTATTAAGATAAATGGGCTAAAATGGATGTATTGAATAGTATATGTGAAATATGCAGCATTCAAGGTAAATATGGAAACCATGGAAGGGGAGGACAGGAAGTCAATGGTTAAAGTAATTTATGGTCTATGTTTTGTTTTAAGGAAAAAATCAATAGATAAGTGGGTTTTTTAATAAAAAAAGAATTATGTGATCATAAGGACATAAGAAGAGCCTGTTGGCCCATCTAGTCCAGCATATTTTCTCACAGTGGCCAACCAGATGGGAACCAGATGTGGCCAACCAGATGTGGGAAGCCTGAAGGCAGGACCTGAGCACAAGAGCACTCAGCCTACCTGCAATTCCCGGCACGTGGCATTCAGAACCATTACTGCCTCCAGCTGTGAAGACAGAGCATACCCTTCTGGGGTAGGAGCCCAACTCATAGCTTAGTGAGATATTCAAAGATGGGACATCACTTGGGAGATTTCAAACCAGCAGAGGAAGAAAACCTCCAGGGACGACAGTATTTTGAGTTCAGTGTGGGTATCCTACCATCTGCTGAAAAACTGGAACTCGGAGGGTTCCTCTTCTGTTCTTTCCATATTGGCACCATACCTCCTTCTCTTCCTAACTGCAAGAAATCCAACACCCTTTGGCCAAACCAAGGGCTCTTGGCTCACAACATTTCGTGTGGAGATAAGTAGTAGGAGTGTGTAACACATTTCGAGAAGTGCACACTGAGGAGTCGAAGGTGAGCGGCCAATGCTTGCACACAAACATACATACATACACACTGAGCACCTTCCATGGAAAATGCCTGAATAAATAATGGAGCTATTAAGTTATCCAGCTTGATACCAGAGAACTGAAAGGTGACTTGGTTCTTCCCAACAAGGCATTCACAGGGTTTGGACATGATTTACAGCAGAGATGGCCACCAGCTGCCATGCAAGAGGAGACACTGCACTTTCCCTGTAAGTAAATTATAGCTCTGTCAAGGCAGCATTAGCTGAAATATGCTGAGTGAACAAGGAAGGGTGCTGTTTGCTAACTCAGCTTCCTTCGCCGGGCAAGCAAAGTGTAAGCAAAAGAGAACCAGCAACTCTGTGATCTTCTGCAGCCATAAGGGCTATATCTCATCAGTTGAGCTTTTGCTGTGCATGCAGAAGGTCCCAGGTTCAATCCCTGGCATCTCCAGGTAGGGCTGGAAGAGACTGCTTGAAAGCCCAGAGAGCTGCTGCCGGTCAGTGTAGACAACACTGAGCTCAATTGACCAATGATTTGACTTAGCAAAAGGCAGCTTCCTTTGTTGGACCTATGTTCGTGGGAGTTCAGTGATGCCATTCTAGCATGTACAGTTATCTGTGTATAGCACTTTATGACTTACACTGCAATCCTATGTAAGCCTCCCCAGAACTAAATCCCACTCCCAAATAAGTATAGGATTGCAGCTGGAATTCTAGATGACAGGGATGGGGAACTGGATCCAGCCAGTGGGCCAAGTCCTTATCTCTGCCACCCCCTGCAGGGCCACCCACCTGTCCATCACCTGACATCACAGTGACAGATAAGTGAGTCATTTTGCTCACATAGTTTTAGATCAAAGGTGCAACCCTGCATTTTGTAAGCAGAGCCCCATGCACAGCACTTTGCCAGCACCGATGACCAGCTGACTGTTGGCGCTTGCAAATCCTAGTGCACAGGGCTTTGTGAGTGCCATGAATCAGCTGGCCAGCAGGGCTTGCAAACTGACTTTTGGCCCAGCCATGGTTTTACCTGCCCCACCACTGATGTGAAGTATAGGGCAGGTGGATGTGGCTGGGCTGAAACTTTCTCACAGGCCAAATGCAGAGGCCTGCCAAGATTGATTTGGCCCATGGTCTGAAGCTTCACCACTACTGCTATCTATACACATGTACTGGAAGGAAGCCACATTGAACATAGTGGGATTTACATGTGAGAAGACAGGCGTCAGATTGTGGTTTTACCTTTAATCTACAAAGCGAGAAAACAACGAGCTTCGCATAACCAGAAAAAAGCAGGCAGAATACAACTGTCCGCAAGCGGTATCTTAAAATTATCTGTGATGTTGATCTTATAGATGCTAGGCCTGAGGTCTAGCCTGAGGTCACATTCCACCTTGAGCTTTCCTCTGGACCGTCCTCAAATGCTGGTTTAAGTGTTTTTTAAACCTTGCCTTCAGGGGTTAACCTGTGGCCTGAGGCTGACCAATTGCACGAGAGGCACCACCGAGGAAACATTTGCTGTTCCAAATTTTCAGTCACCAGAGAACATAAGTTCCAATTAGTAAAATGGTAACTAAGCCTTGTGTGCATATCCTCCAAGTGCCTCGGTTTTCCAGGAACAATCCTGGAATTACAAAAGCCATCCTGGCTTCTGATTTAACCCCAGAATGTCCCTATTTCCCTTTGCCAGTGCTGCCACCACTGAGCTCAGTGAGGAGGATTTGTTGGCGCTTGACCCAAGTCGCAGAGGGGGCGAGGGAACATCCTGTTGCCTATCCATGGCTGCCACTGCTGGCCTCCTCCCTTATGTAGCTTGTAGCAGCTGCTGGAGAACAAGTGAGGAAGAGGAGGGGCTGCCACCACCAAGGCCTAGCCCAGCATGACGCACTGGTTCTGAGGCGGAGGCAGAGGGCAGGGCTGCCCTTGGCAGGAAGGAATGGGAAGCAGAGCAGAGCACAAGGAGTCTTGATTTAGATAATAATATTTATGCCTCCACACCTAATCTTTCTCCCTTTCCAAAACTGATTTATTAGCCTGTGTTTTAGTTGGTGGGTGTGGAAAATGGCTCCATTTTCATCTGAGGGATGTTGGAGGGTATGTTTATGCACACTGTCATCTAAAAAACGTAACACAATACAACACACAAAACCCTTCCCTACAAAACAACTAAAAAGGGGAGGAGCCCATGCCCTTGTCACACCCCAAAGGTCAACCCAAAGAGATAACCCCTTTGGTATCTCCCCTTTGGAGTCACCGCTGGCAGAGCCACCCACCACCCCAGCAGTCTTTGCTTACGTCTTCCTCAGCGCCAATAAATGCAAGGTATGTTGTTTTGTGGACTGGGCAGGGCAGCTACCACCACTCAGGCAAATGACATATAGCCTCAGTGAGTCCTAGACCTGATGTCTCCCCAAAACAGCAGCTTCTTGGAGATGGCTGCTTCCCAAAGGGGGCTGATATTAAACTATTTATGTCTCCCCACTCTCCCTATCTCAGCTAGCTGCCTGCCTCCCATTCACCTCCTTCAGCTGCTGCTATGCATACCTTGGGTTAAGTGGTACCTTGGGTTAAGAACTTAATTCGTTCTGGAGGTCCGGTCTTAACCTGAAACTGTTCGTAACCTGAGGAACCACTTTAGTTAATGGGGCCTCCCGCTGCCGCGCAATTTCTGTTCTCATCCTGAAACAAAGTTCTTTACCCGAGGTAATATTTCTGGGTTAGCGGAATCTGTAACCTGAAGCGTCTGTAACCTGAAGCGTCTGTAACCCGAGGTACCACTGTAAATATAAATTAAAGCACCAGGACTACAAATGTCCAACCCAGAGCTCCATCAATGTATTTAAGCATCCTGTGTCGGGTTGTAGCTTGTTTGCCTCTGTTGCCGTTTCCTTACCAGGAATACGATCCTGGAAAAGACTGTTCCTAAGCATCTGGCCACACAGGGAAGCATGGAGCATGAAACACCAGGTGATTTATACAGACAAGGTAAGAAGAGGTAACTTGGGAGAAGGGAAACTCAAGAGGCAGAACAGGCAGCAACTGGCAGATTACCTAAGCTATTTATTTCTTTGTTCCCTTCCTCATCATATGCACCAACATGCACCATACACTCCTTGAATGCTAATTCCCGGTTTGGAGGGGGAAGTGGGCAGGGAAGGGAGGAAGTAAGAAAACAAAAGAAATAAGAGTACAAATTGCACATACATAACTGTTGCTCATCCAAGCAGGTTTTTTCTGGGTGCTTCACAGTAGTAAAGTTAAACGAAGCATTCAATGCACATTTATTAAACTAAAGTATCCATGGGAGAAACCTCAATGGGGCATGCAGCATTCTCCGCAGAACATTTGTAAAATAAATAAATAAGCAGACAGAAAAGTTGTTTTAACCCCGAATCTAAAAATTGCTGACTTTAGATTTAAAAATAAATAAATCACAGCGACTGCCTGTGTTGCTCCCTATGGTAGGGCTAGAGAAGGCAGAACCAAGGGGATCTGATTAGTCAGGGGTGGAGTCAGAACAGGAAATGCCTGATAAGGGGTGGAGCCTTAAAAGAATGGATATTGTGACAATCTTGAGCTGTTTTTGTGAGACGACAGCACTGGCTACCTAAGGGTTGGAGATAAATTAGCTTCCACTTTCCAGGGACATTGGTCAATCTAGCTCATATTGTCTACACCAGAGATGGAGAACTGTTGGCTCTCCAAATGATGCTCCCATTGTTCTTGATCTTTGGCCATTTTTGCTTGGGCTGATGGGAAATGGAATCCAACAACATCTGGAGGGCTGCATGTTCCCCAACCCTGGTCTACGCTGACATCTCTCCAGGGTTCCAGACAGGAGTCTTTCTCAATCTTCTCTTGATATAGAGCACTGTTTCCCAAACTTGGGTCTTCAGCTGTTTTTTTGGACTACAACTCCCATCATCCCTAGCTAGCAGGAGAAGTGGTCAGGGATGATGGGAATTGTAGTCCAAAAACAGCTGAAGACCAGAGTTTGGGAAACACCGATATAGACCCGGGGCCCAAAGTGGCAGAGCAAAACTCATGCTCTACTACTGAACTATGACCCTTCGTTTAGTAAGCAAACTCAAGTAAGGGACCAGCCACTTCACAGATCACACAACAGCTATCCTGAGTATGCCTACAAAATCTACAGTGAGCAAGGCTGGCAGCCAATTCTAGGTCTTCACCAGTAAACCTGTCGGATGTATGCATTTTCAAAGACACATTTGCCACATATCACATTTTACACCTAGAGAACCTTTGGCCAATTTCTTCTCCCCAGTGGAGTTGCCAACATTTTTAACCAGGCCCAGATCCTGTGTCTTTAACAGCAACATGATTAGCAGACAATAGAAGGTAATGATAGTATTATGGACATAGGCAATGCAGAGGGAGGGGGATCAGTCAAGGATAGGCAAGTACTTGATCCAGACAAGTATCTCGCCATCCACCTCATGATTATTTGAAATAAAGACACTTTTTCTCATGCAAATTATAACTGGATCATAAACTGGAAATTAATATAAGGCTGTAATCTTCAGCATGCTAACTTGAAAGCTAACACCATCAAAATTAATAGGATACACTCTAGGAAAAAATATATCTTTAGGATGGGAATGTTAATTTGAAATATGCCATTATTTCTCTGTTAAAAACTTGCCATGTGGAACAAAGCTCATTCGCAACCCCTCCCCAATATATTCCTTTTTGGTGACACCACTTACGCTGAAGTAAGTGCTGGTTTTTGCAGATCAAACGGCTACTATTGATACAACGGGGAGGTCTATGCCTCAATAAAGGAACATCTGTTTTGTTTGAAGAAGGTCCCATGTTCAGTCCCCAGCAGCTCCAGGTAAGGATGGGAATATTTCCTGTTCAAAACCCTGGAAAGCTGCTGCTGTGTGGACAATACTATGCTAGATGCTCTGAATGCAGGGAGTGCAAGGTTCAATCCCTAAACATCTCTCCCCAGGTTACTGAACTCACCTCAACTCTTGCCCTGCATTTTATGCAGGCAACTCACAACTTAGGCACATTTAACTTGTGAGCATTCAGCTTTACACACTTGGCAAATAAAAGGGGTGTGTGGACAGAGGGAGAGCATGAAGGGGAAAAAAGACTTTGGCAATCCTACCTGCCATTGAACCCAATGTGTTTTTCCTAGATGCGATTTTGGCTTTATGCTCTATCCCCGTAGCATAGCCCCTGCATAAGTTGAAAGTCGCATGTATATAGGTCTCTTTCAGGATGAGATCCAGCCCTTTCTTGTTGTTGGAGGGAATGGCCTTCCAGATTCTTCCAGCCTCACCATCAGATGATTTAATTGGCCTCTGATATGCCTCCTCGGAACTCTGCCAATTGAGATTGGCAGTGTGGTGGTCTTCATAAGGTTCTCTCTCTAACCATTGATTGATATGCACACGAAGTCTCTCTCTTCCTCATCTTGCT